TATGGGACGTGAATATGTAAATAGGCGAGCTCATATATTGAATCGATATCCTGTATCATATGATATTCATTAGTTTTTTTTTACTTTGTAAGTGTTACTATCACTTGACACTTGTCACACTGATTGACACCTCGGCTTATCAAAGGCTGTGTGTGTGTGTGTGTGCGTGCGTGCGTGTGTGTGTGCGCGCGCACGCGCGTGCATGTATATAGAAGTGTATTTCACTTGCCCAGTTAGCAGCTTGCTAGGTAGCCGTTTAGCACTACGAATAGTTAAACAGCAAGCTAACTAGACGGTCAGTCGTACAGACTGTCGATCTGGATTTCATTCTGAAAATCGTGGCGCGATGCTGCAAACAAAATAAATATTGTAGATCGGATTTTACCATGCACACGTGCAGTCGGCCCGCCCATGTCTAGTTTGAATGTATAAGATCAGCCGAAGAAAATGATCTTGGCAGTCAACGGCGACCATCGTCCGAGCGCCGTTTTTATGTACCTTAGCATAGCTTGGCGATCGTGGCGCGATGCTGCGAGCAAAGCGAATTTTGTCGATCGGATTTTACCATGCACACGTGCCGTCGGCCCACCCGTGTCTAGTTTGAATGTATAAGATCGGCCGAAGAAAATTATCTTGGCAGTCAACGGCGACCGACGTCCGAGCGCCGTTTTATGTGCATTAGCATAGGTTGGCAATTGTGGTAGATCGGATTTCACGTGCCGTCGGCCCGCCCGTGCCCAGTTTAAACGTCTAAACCAACGTCCGAACGCCATTGTTAGGTACATTTGAATATCTGAAGGCCTTCGGAAGGCTTCACTGGTCGCCTCTACTGTTATGTAGCAGTCTGCTTTCTCCAACATTTTTCTTCGCATCTTCCTTGCTTGTCTTGCGTTCCACATTGGACTCGCTCGCCTTCGGCAGTGTCGTTACGTAGCTTGTGTATGTTGCTTTCTCACTGACAGGCTCGTTTCGTCGAACCTCTGACCTTTCCTTTGCACGAGGAACGCTGCATTATTTCACATCCATTTGGCGCTCTTGCATAACCCCTGAGAACGGCTGTGAGTTACCGTTTCACGGTTGTTGCCTAGAAACAATTTTGCCACGCACCGAATCATGTGTATAATCGAATCACCGAGTATAAAGAGTTCGTTTTCGCTCATGGTCCATAAGAGCCCAGCGTCGCGGACGCCGCCCGGTAAACTATGCTTCTCGTCGGCGTAACGTCAGGTTCCATTCTGAACAAGAGTACATAATAGAGATCTCTATTATTTACTCTTTATTCTGGTCGATGTGGTTTTTTATGCGGGAGTATTACCGCGAGCATTCCCCCACGCTTGCCGTCGTTCCTAACATTTTGTTTTCGAATGCCGTTGGAACTATCGCCGTTCGTTCCTTTCATAGCACCAAGGTGGACTGATAGAACCTTGTACTCCTCGTATTTCGTCGGCGGCGGCCATTACCCTACTCGCCCACACGTCGGTAACAGTCGCGACTTCTTTTATCTTCGACTGCAACCGTCTCAGTTTCCGCTCGACGCTGTTGAACTCGCGTTTGATATCACTTTCCTTTGACACACACGGATACGGTGTTTCTCGTAGTTTTTATCATCTATTCTCCCCGAGTAACGGATACTGGAAAAAACTTTATTTTGTGTTAAATGTCTCGTTAACTGTGGCAGAATTATTTTACGTGCAGGATCATGCGCGTCGTTCGTGAGGCAATGTGGATGACGTAGTTCGATCTATAATGCTGACACACTCGCTACCTCTCGGTGCGATCACGCGAAGCCACGCATCGTGTTTGCGAACACTGCCGCTTACATCTCGACATTAGCAGCTGCGCATATAGTTCCTTTATTAAACATGTGAGCTTATAACAAAATTGATTTGCAGGTGTCGGCAATAAAAGCGTATACAGGCGGGTTGCGACCACATTCAGATTACGTCACCATTGCACGACGTCTTTGTAATTCATTTCAGTTGTATAGTCTCAACGTATATGTCGTTAAGGGTAGGTGCGCGCATGTGTGTGTGTTACATATATCGCTATCCGATTCCAACGACGCAATGATTTTATGAAGCTCAAGAAAAACTCTCTAATCAGAGAAAAACGAAATCAGAATATCAGTGAGATATGAGATATCATTGAACTCGTTGCGATTGGAAAATTTGCCGATAACCCGGTGTGTTAGAACCCTCTCCCCCATAGTGCTAGTAGAATCGTTCGAAACACCTTATTAACCTATTCAATAGCAATAAAAAAATAAATTCGAACGTGTGTTTCAAAAACGGCTGACGTATTTTAGAATCATGGAGGTTTCGTGTAGCCTAATGATGCCTATAGTTTAACCGACAATAATAGCACAACGTGAAATATTGCAGCCATTTATATGCGCCCGGCGACGTTCAATTATAAACGGCCACTTTGGGGAGAAAGTGTAATCACGTTCATAATTCATTAAAGCCATATACAATGACTTGCCATTCCTCCTTCCCCGCCAAGTAAAATCTAAAACTTAAACCTGCCGTCTGTCGATGGAAAATTACGAAACGCTCATAGTTATAGTATAGTGGACATCACCACGGCAGCCATTGTTGAGTTATCGTGTAGTAATTTCAAACTGTCGTTAACCGTCAATTAACCGCTAAATTTTAACTATAGATAATTTATGGTTAATCCAGTAATGACTGAACAATTAAAAGTATAATTAATTAAGCGCAATTCGTTACTTGTATTTAATTTATTAAGAGTGAATTTATGTTGACAGGTTAATTGATAACTCATTTTTGTGCGATGGCAGTACGGGGCATTTACGGTTAATCCAACTATTCGTAAATTAACCCATTAATTTATTAGCATCGTAAATAAATACCGGTGAATCATCCGATCGCGGGTTTGTTAAGAATGTGTTGCATTAATGCATTAATGCAAAAAGGGTTTACTAACTAAGGTCTACTTCGACCGTTTTACAGTAAGGACTGAGACTATGCCTTAGAATCTGTGGCTCGAATAAATGATTTAAAAGTTTATTTTACGTTAAGTAATTTCACGCTAAGTTTCCAGGTAGGGAGTTTTCAGGGAAGATTTTCCGAAAGCAAGTAAAGGCAGTGTGTCCTGTATCGCTTTACTCAGCGAAAACAATTGTCTGCATTAACTTCTTGATTCAATTCGATATAATTTCTCTTAATCAGGGCATGTCCGGTTATATCGGTCAGTGCTATTAGACACGCTCTTGTCTTTTCTTGCGTAAAAACTACTAGGGAGTAGGGACCTGGCCGATCAGTAGGTGGCGCAGTGTGCGAGGTTGTAATAGTGCCAACGGGGGACACACCACCTTTGATAAACAAATTCAGTTCTTGCTCAATCGATTAGTTATCTAATCCATCAATGGATAATCTATTAGCAATGTAATATATTAACAGTCCCGTCCATTAACGGTGTAATTTATAAACCGCTAGCCTATTAACGATCTAATGTACTTTCCCGGTTCTCTAGTAGCCGATTCGCGCAAAAGGTCTCAACATACTGTTTCTCCGCTAGAGGCGCTGCTGCTACCATTAAAAAGTGTCTCAGCGAGTCGGGATATCTTGCGTGTAGCTAGCATGAAATACAGACAGGCACTTTTCGTAAATCATGTTTAATTGTATGCAATCATGCCTAGCTCGTGCATGCCTCGTGCGAAACTCTCATTTACATTTTTCATTTCGGAATCCATCACATGTACTGCTGATCGCTCAAGGAAAATGTTTACTGGCGTGTTGTTGGTTCACGAATGGTTGATTTAGCGAAAAGTTGGTTGTTTCAACGTGCTTATATTCAGCCTGGTGTAGGCGGTGCGAGAATGAAACGCAAGACGCAAATTGTCATAACGTAAAGAAGAAAAACGCAAATTGGTTGGAAGATTTTCGCGATATTAACATGCATACGGATATTTAAAGCTAGCTCATCAGCTGTCATTAAATATCCCATCTGTGATTTTATTAGTGGCGTTAATGTGATGTGATAGTGATAGTGATGTGAACTTAATATCTTCATTCATTCATTCATTCATTCATTAGTTCACTGGATCATTTTTAACACGAACAGTGCACGTAGTTACTCGACATTATCGTCAATAACAACATGCCCAATAGCCGGAGTTTAAACCCTCTTTGTAATTTTCGGAAGTGTTCTATCGAAAATAATTTTTTAACGTATCGTGTTATAATCACAATTCATACTCTTAATGCGGAAAAATATCACAGTGATAATACGAAACACGTTGTTAGCTAGCGATTGCGTCTCTCTTCCTTTTCCTCAACGCGTGAGTAGGATAATGATGCACGGGATTCTCTATAGCAGTTTGTTTTCTTGTCTGGTTCGTAGGCGATGAACGAGATGATAGGAGATCTGGAAGCGTCCAACATCAACCTCACGGCCACCGAGACATTTGTCAACAATGAGTACATCGAGGAGCTTCGAACTCTCAAGGTATTTGTCTCAGTTCACTCCTCATGTATCAGGGTATGCGCCTCACATCACTCCTATGTATCAGGGTATGCGCCTCACATCACTCCTATGTATGAGGGTATGCGCCTCACATCACTCCTCATGTATCGGGGTATGCGCCTGCAGCATCACTCCCTAATGTATCAGGGTATGCGCATCTCACATGCAACCTGCCGCTTATGTATGAAAGGGTATTGCGGCCTGCACAGTCGAGGACTGCATATGTATGAGGGATGTGCGCCTCAGCATCAAACTCGCCAGTATGTATATAGGGTATCGCGCCTCAGCATCACTCGCGCTATGTATTGAGGGTATCGCGGCCTCACATCACTGCCCTAATGTATACAGGGTATGTGCGCGCGCTCAGCATCAGCTCCGCTATTGTATCAGGGTATGCGCCTCACATCACCTCCCTATGTAATCAGGGTATGCGCGCTACAGCATCACTCCCCTATGTCTCAGGGTATGACCTCACAATGCACTGCCTAATGTATCAGGGTCATGCGCCTGCACATCACTTGCCCTATGTATCAGGGTATGCGCCGCTGTGCACATCACTCACCTATGTATCAGGGTATGCGCCTCACTTGAGCTCCCTATGTATGCAGGGTAATGCGATCTCAGACATCACTCCACTATGTATTCAGGGGTATGCGCCTGCACATTGCACTCGCCTATGTAAAGGTATGCGGCCTACACCTCATCCTATGTAATCAGGGCAATATGCGCATCACATCACTCCGCTATGTATCAGGGTATGCACTCATCCACATGCACTCCCTATGTATCAGGGTATGCGCCTCAGCTTGACTCCCTATGTATCAGGGTATGCGGCCGCACATCACTTACCCTAATGTATGCAGGGTATGCCGGGCCTCACCATCACTGCCTATGCTATCAGGGTAATGCACCTCACATCAGCTGCGCTATGTAATCAGGGTATGCCGCCTCACTTGGACTGACCTATTATCAGGGGTATGCGCCTCACATCACTCGCTATGTATCCAGGGTATGGCGCCCTCAGCATCAGCTCTCCTAATGTACGAGGGTATGCACCTCCAAGCCATACGCCAGCTCCCTATGTATGGCAGGGTATGCGCCTCACCAATGCCCTCCGGCTAAGTATGCAGGTATGCGCGCTCACATCACTCCCCTATGTATTAGGGTATGCGCCTTTCTCTCACATCACTCCCTATGTGTCAGGGTATGCACTCACATGCAGCTTGGCCCCATGTAATCAGGGTAGTGGCACGCTCACATGCACTCCCTGATGTATCAGGGTATGCGCCTCACATCACTCGCCTATTGTAATGCAGGAGTATTGCGCCTCAGCATCACTCCTTGATGTGTCAGGGTATGCGCCTCAAGCATGCACGTCCCTATGTATTCAGGTATGCGCACTCAGCAGTCACTCCATGTATCAGGGTAATGCGCCTCAACATGCACTACCCTATGTATCATTAGGGTATGGCGCTCAGCAATCACTCCCCATGTATCCGAGTAATGCGCGGCTTAAATCACTCCCTATGTATGCAGGGTATGCACCTGCACATCACTTCCCAGGGCCGCGTACGAGCAGGGGGCAGGCAGGGGGCTAGTTTGGGCGCGTCACTCCACCCCCTAGAGATTTTCAGAAGTATGCGCTTTAAATGGAGAGCAAAATAGGGCTATAGAGGGGCGTGGGGAGTACCTTGCCCCCGCCTACAAGAAAATTTCCTGGCGTATTTGCCCAGCCCGTACAGAATAATTTCCTATGCGTACGGCGGCTTGATCACTCCTTAATGGTATGGCAGGGTATCGGTTTCTTAGAGGCTGCTGAACGCGCATGCTGAGAGACGCGATTTTTAATTGTCCATCGACTGGGCTCTGATGTGACTCCACACTTCTATAATGGCGGCGTCTTTAGACGTGGGAAAACTCGGCACGGCCGTAGTTGGTTATATGCGCCTGACCTGACAAAGAGGAATGGAGAGGTAATAGAGGGCGGATTCATCGTACGAGTGCATTATGGCGGTGGCGTTACTGTCGTCCATCAACGGCGGCTTTGATACGCCTTTCGGAAATTAATCTCAGGTTGAGGCGGTTCAAGAACGCGAGAATCCGCAAATCAAGCGGAGAACGAGATCGTTAGGCAAATGCGTGGATTTCTCCCTGCCCTGCTGTGTCTTGCCTAACTCGCTTACGCTTTAATCTTGCACGCTCTCTCCATACCTTGGCTCTGCTCTCGTCTCTTCTTACTTGGTGAGGCAAATCATGTCGGGGTGACAAATGAGTTTAAAGTTTGTTGCTTTAATGCTGGGTGTAATCGATTTCGTGGCCTCCTCGTCTCTTGCTCTCTCATCGTCAATCTCCTCTCTCTCGTCTCTCGTCTCTCTCTTGTGGTGTGTTACTCTTTGATCCGCTTCCCTCTCTCCCTTCGTCCCGCACCGCTCCCCTGCCTGCCATCCCCTCAGGTCTCTTTCCTTCTCCCCCATGCTGCCTGTCGCGTCTGCCCTCCCTCTCCTTACTCGCGCTCCATCTCCCACTGCTCCTCCGCTCTCTCGTCATTTCCTCCCCCTTCCTCCGTCTTTTTCCTGGCCTCCCTGCCCCCCTTTTTCCGCGCCCGTCCCTTCCTCCTCCCTTCCCTCCCACTCTCGCTGCCGCTCCCCTCTCTCAACCCTTCTGCTCTGCTGCTCTCGCGTATAGAGTACCGAAGTGATGGACGTCAGGCTGGGCATGACAACGAAGCCTATTGGTTCTACAGCAATGCATATGCTCTGGTAACATGTACAACTGCGTGTGCGTGTTTTGTACCCGATTGTAACCATCATTGCTGAGAGTCATTATTGCAGTTTTTATAGACATTTCCAAAGGATGGAAGTGGAAAAGCACGGGAAAAAAAATTAGACAAAAGAAAAATTTAACAAAATATGGCATTAATACTTGTAAGATCCGACATTGCTAAGCCGATGCTTTAACCAGCTGTCTGCAGCGCAGCACACTCGTGTTTTAGCGGTACGCCAACGCAATCCGAACGACATTTTTCAAAGCACGTGGGATACATCAGTTAATGTTTAATGGAAGCCAGTGGCTTGTGTAGAAGCCAGCGCGGTACGTTGTCTTGCCAACGCTGACGTCAGCACTTCGGTACTCTATTATCCTCTGTTTTTCTTTGCTTGCTATCTCTCCATCCTCAAATTGGCGAGGCGGTTATCTCCGTCATCGCAATCGGCGATTTTTGATGCAGAAGCTTTAACCGGAAGCGGCAGTCTGCACTGCGAGAGGCCACATATAGAGCTCTGGCGTAGTGTTTGTTGTGCGTGCGTGGCGTGCGTGTATTTATATGAATGCGATGTGTGTTGTGTTGTGTGTGTGTGTGGTGTGTGTGTGTGTGGTGGTGTGTGTGTGTGTGTGTGATGTGTGTGTGTGTGTGTGTGGTTTATGGCGTGTATTGTGTGCGTGCGTGCGTGTGTGGTGCGGTGTGCGCGTGCGTGCGTGTGCGTGTGTCGTGTGTGTGGTGTGTGTGTGTGTGTGTGTGTGTTTGTGGCGTGTATGTGTGCGTGCGTGCGTGTGTGTGTTTGTGTGCGTGTGGCGTGTGCGGTGTGTGTGTGTGCAATGTGTGGTGTGTGCGTGTGGCAGTGTGGCGTGTGCGTGTGCGTGCGCGTGCGCGTGCGCGTGTGTGTGTGCGTATGTGTGTGTGTGTGTGTGTGTGTGTGTGTGTGTGTGTGTGTGTCCGTGTGTGTGCGTGCGCGAGGAAGCTCTAAAGGATGCGATCGTCAGACGGGCTCCTGGTCATCATATCTTCGATTTTCATCAGGCAGACGATTAAATTATAATGTTCATCTGCATCCTCGCTGTCTCCGATTAGACCGGACCTCATTAGAGCACGCAAATGTCGTTAGGTAGTAGTGAGGGGATTTCCAGTCGCTACTCCGTGTGGTTAGTTGTGCGATGTGTGGAGGATTTTCTCGCGTTTTTGTTAATGCGCTATATACGGATATTATAATTTTACGACAGCGTTGTATCGTCTCTCGTGCTCCCGTGTCTTCGTGCGTTCGCGTTCGTTTCCCCCGCTTCCTTTCTCCGTCGCGTTTCGTTCATTACTCTCACCTGTTATTAGAGCGCGCGGACACGATCTATTATGGCTTGCTAGGCATGTGAGGCAAGAGTAGGAAAGAGATTTCAGTCGGAATTATTATTTTATCGAGTGGTTTTCGTGTTTCTTAACGGTGCACGTGTGGGGTGGCAGCGGTGCGTGCGTGCGCGCGTGCGCACGCCTGTGTGTGCACGTGCATTTGGGTGTTAGTACATCTGTGTGTGCGTGTGCCCGCACGCATGTGTGTTCGTACGTGTATGCGTGCGTTCGTGCGTATGTGCGTGCGAGCGCCTGTGTGCGGGCACGCGTTGCATGCTGCATGCGTGTATCGGTCAGACGTCGTGACACAGAATACTATATCAAGAGCTTGTATCGAGACCCGTATCAGGATTGGACGACTGCACGCCTGTATAAAGAGCTGCTCGGCTATCTAATACTGATGCATATAATATGAGGGTGCTGCGCATATGTCAAATACGGTCGCGTGGGCGTCCCATGTGATTATTCTCTAACTAATTAGATTCAATATTAGCACTGAACTCAAAATGTCGAATGTCGAGTGCGCGCGCGACTACCGCGCTAGCAGCTGCGCATGCGCAACCGGCGCACGTGACCGGCGCTCTGTTGCCGTCGCCGTAAATCATCATCAAACCAAGATTTGAATCCGTCGTCGTCATCCGCGTCGGAGAAAGTAGAAAAATTCTCCAAACGAGATTCTGAGGCACGGTGCCGCCGTCCGCCATCGGGGAACGAACGCGGCGGATTGTGACGTCATCGCCTCGATGTGAATTCGAGATCATTTGGAATTCGCGCGCGAATGTCGATAAAGGAGGTCCGTCTGATCGTTTAGTCTTTGGCGACGTGATGGTCAGTGCGTCGCGGGATTGGATGAGAGCTTGCGCATAAGCGTCCCATAACCGCAGTAGGTGAACGAGAATGGTTTCAGTCAGGTCTCGATCACACACACACACACACACACACACACACACACACACACACACACACACACACACACACACACACCACACAACACACATCGATTCATATAAATTATTCTACCGTAGCCTATAAAAATGGCTGTATGAATAGCGGGGGCAGCCATTACGACTCTGACAGCTGGCTGGCCGCTGTTACTATTTACAACGCGAAGAGTTACGACAATAGTCGACGATTAAATATCACAATTATCTCAATAATTATTCATGAATGTATCCGTCGACAGATGCTTTGATTGAATAATTATCGAGTAACTAACGATGGCAAGCGAGTGGCGGACTCGGTATCATAATATATATATATGTAATTAATAACACGCATGCGCATTCATATACATTTCGTATGAAACTGTCGAGAATTCTAGAAGTTAAGAAATTGCGTGATGACACGACAACATCTGATCGCTTCGGCTACAATTAGCGGCCC